ATAAATACACTGTAAAATGGAGAGTATCGGAACAGCCTACTTTATTCACAAAAATGAAAAAGGAAAACATAGCATTGAAGAAAAGAAGTCGACAAAATTTCAAATCTAAACTAGTCAAAATATGCCCATGCAAAGAAAAGCCAGATAATTGCGTCATGAACTTAACAAATTTAGGTACCTAGTTTCATGTTTAATGAGGCAAATGTAAAATTGAGTCCTCAGAGTTCAACCTAGGCATGGAATACAGACATATAACAAGGGTAGTGGGGGAAACGAAGAGGAAAAGATAAAAGGAATCTTTTATGAGAATTATAAAAAAAACAATCATCAAACAAAATAATAATCTTTGGCAAGTCAATGGGTAAATTTACCTTGATCATGCTAACTCCAGACCCCACATTAACTAAGAGATAGGGATACAAATCTTCGTGGTCAATCTGGACATACTCTTTCTGGCCATCCATATACGTATATGCTTCACGTTGCACTGCCTAAACAATATAAATGAAAATATCTGCTAAATCAACACACCAGAAGACAACCAAACATAGAGAACTGAGGACAAAAACAGGGAGAAAATAAAAAGAGAGAAAAACAAATAGCACAAAGATGCAAGACAATGCACACAACCACCAAGTATCTATGCAAATTAAATGTCGGTATCGTAATTGTCACAAGACTGTAATGAAACTGGAAAAATATTAACTATGAGCTAGCATTTATTATATGCAAAGGTGCTACCGGTAATCCTAATCTCCTCTCTATGGGTCTTCAAAACCATATTTATCAAATGAAAGATTACCTAAGAACAATCCAGTGCCATAGTAACAGTGATTGCCATCTCCATTTAATTATTAGTAAAACTATTTTCTTCCCTGTAGATCTACATACAATATTTTTTTTTTGAAACTTTTTTCTATGTTCTCGTTAACACAATACCAAAAGGGAACAATTACNAAAAAACTTCGCACACCCTAAATTTATTTGAATAAGATCAACATTACGGGTACAATCTCCATCTAGAACATTCTGGTTCTTCTCTTCTTGGATTTATAATGGAAAACTTTCACATTGGATTTTTAGAGTTGGTTTCTTCAACTGGATCTCCTCTTGACTGGATTTCAGATTTTACTAACATTAATTTGCGGGTCAAACAACCTATTTTAAACATTACAACTTAAATTTGATTGGAGGGAGAGCTTCTTGTGGAATGTCTCTGGATCTTCCTTCAAGATGGATTTCTCTCCTTGAAGAGGAATTACTGGCTGCATATCTTCTTGGTCTTCTTCTTCAATTTGTGTGCCTTAATTCTTTGACAACGAGTAGTTGTAGGAGAGAGATTGACATGATTAAGCACTTTGACTTGACTAGTCTTTCAAAAATTTAATATGATCTCTTTCCAACATCTTTCAGATTTAACTTGGTGGCAAAGTTATATATTAATCTATTAAAATTATTCTACTTAACCTTAGATTTTAAATCCAAAATAATAAAGATGCTAAATAATAAAAATAATATAAAAATTATGTGTCTACATCATAGATTACAATACGTGACTGAAATATATAACCCATTAATGTGAAAGACCAAAGAAAATACACTCCCTACACATACATATAAGTGCGGTTCTAGAAAAAAAAAAATGAGTATTAACAATTCATTTCTCACCTAGTATTACTATGTCAAATCTTCCAAATTTATATATTTATACATCACTTAATAATAAATATATTTCTTTCCAAAGTTCAGTTATTTTTTCTCTCTTATATTTTAACTATGGAAATAACTCTATTTCCATAGTTTTAAACTTCTTATACTATATAGTTGGGAGAATAGTATAAAACGATAAATAATTGAAAGCAAGAAATCCAATCTAAAATATACTTATTTCTAAGAGAAGGGAGTGCAATTTAGGGTGCAGTACATAGTTCTCGAGGAATAAGGTGTATTAGAGAAATATGGATCCTAAGTCTTTATTATAATTAGACTTGAGTCCTAATATTCAGTATGAAGATAAATATTACAAAGTTATTCTTCTTGCCCCAGATGGCATACCTTAAGTAGAAAATTAGCACCAGCAACAAGGGAACTCATTTCATCAACTTTGTCTAGAGCAATACCAAGCTTTTCTTTGAATAGATCAGAAAATTTAAATGCCCCGCCACCTGTAGCCTTCAAAAACCCCCAATTTACATTATTAGCTAATATATCATAAATTTATTGCCAATTCAAAGCTCATGGAAAGCCTAATTATACAATTGAAGTGTTCCCATTAGGCTCTATTTTGACAATCAAAAGTCCAATGAAAAAGTAAACCTTCTGTTCAATTTACAACTATGTTTCTAGGTCAGAGAAACAAAGAAAAACCACAGAAATGAAAAAAGAAACTTTTTATTTATTTGGTAATAGTGAACGATAAATATGGTTCCTGGACGTATTGGAAACCATGTCCTTATTGATCAGTTGTGTTTTGAGTTTAGTTTCATATCCAAACAATTACAAGTTTCTCATAATGATTTCATACTTATTACTGATAAACAAAACATCCAACTAGGAACTGAGAGCTATATTGAAAAATCACGTCTTTAGTTTAAGGTAAGGGCTAAGGCAACATCAAATGACTGGTTCCTCAATCATCCAATCTACCACATTACATAAAAATTACCTTAACAATAGTTTTGTCACTGGCTGGGCCCTCATCATCTTGATCACCTGGATTCACAAATCCTATAAGGCAAAAGACCGCAATACTACCGCACACACAATACATCAAGATTACAGAAAATTCACCATAAGTTTTTGTTAAGTAAGGTAACAACCCAACATAAACATTTAAGTTCGGTATAACTAAAATGAATGTTTTGAGATAAAGTCACATCCAAAAACTTTTGTAGCATCCCTATATCCATGAAGATATCTTTAGCTAAAGAACAAATGACTTAATCTTGGTTAATGACTGTCCATCTCATATCCTCCTTAAGAAAGTTGGACTTCCAGGTAAGCTTTTCCTCTTATGAAACTAATCTAAAAGGTAGTGGCAATTACAAATTTATAACCTAGAATCTCAAATTAAGCACCCCAAAATCTTCATATTAGCAACTAACCATTCAAGACTAAGGTGATAAGTTGAAATGTTATAAATTTCCACCATAAAACTAGATCCCACTGCCAAAAATAGGAAAACCTAGACAATTCAAAGAAAGACGAAATTCTCCAACCCAATCAAACATTAGATCATTAATTGCTTGATCTTTATTAAATATAGCTATGTTTAAGTGGAACATTTTCTATGATACAATTGCGAATGAAGAAATACATACGATAAACAACTCTTGTCAACTCCAAGACATCTTAATGTGGTAGCCGCAACAGAACTACATACCATAGTGGTGAAGGCGCTTTGAGGATATGAACTTTAAGCATTCACTGATCTTTCCTGTTTCAAACTTCACAAAATGCAGCTTCCCAGTTAGAAGGCCATTTTTGTGACCGTCACTTGAGCCAGTACTGCTACATGAGAAGTACACGATCTTTATTAGAGAACCTACATATAAAAGTGGAGATGATCAATTCCAATATCAATTGGATGATTCATGCACAACGCCGTTATTCATGAAAATTGAGCATTTTATTGAACGAGTTGCTTTTGAAACACATCCGGATACCACGTATGCTTTTTGCTTCCACCTTTTGGATTCAATTTTTTTTTCCTCTAACTAATACATAATTATGCCTCATGATCAAATACACAGAAGGTATCTAACTGGCCCACTGTATGTCCCAAGAGTTCTTTCTCACTGTCCTGGATATGGAATAGAGCTATAAATTGTAAAACCACCAAAATTCCGAATATGAACCATAATCGAAGCAGAATGAAGCCCTGATCAGAATTTCTGCCCCCAATATAGGCTCAGCTCATTATCACAAAAATCCAACTTCAATAAATTTAGAAAAGATAAATTTAGAGAGAGAAGAAATAGAACAAGTGGGATATGAATGAACTCAAAACACCCAAAAATGAAAAACGAAGAAATAACTAGACAAATAGATCACATGATCAATTGAAAAGCAAATACCTCCAATATCAAGAGCAAGGTTTGAGACTTCATCTTCACGCTCCTTGAGTTCTTTCCTCCCTAAATTCGCATCCATCTATTACACGATTTTCACCTTAACCCCTTCTTTAATTTCACCCAATCTCCTGTCAACCACCTTATATATACAAACATACAGACGCGACGGAATCCGTTGTCAAGAAAGGCTGCTGACTCAAAATGAAACCCAGTTGACAATCATCATATTCATCCAAATCCATCAGAATAAAGGAACATCTTTTCACCTAATATCGATCAATATTTTTTTGTTGGGTATATATTAATGGAAACTAAATTAGGTTGGCGTAGAACCACAACCACTAGGAATTTATTGGATAACAACTACGGCGGACAAGACCGAAAATCAAATTTCCTATCCACATCAATCATATTAATAATTACTAACGCCTAGCTTGCACGGGATGGTATATTTTCTTGAAATGTTTAACGTGTGAAATATAATTTATATATATGTAACAAAAATAAATGGATTGCAAAGAAGGGAAAAAAATATAAATTATTGAACACTTTCTTTGTGAAGTAAAATTTGTGAAGCTTTGATATATTTGATTATGAATAAAAAAGTATGAAATACTACCTGCGGACCGTTGAGATAGATGAGAAGATTTACTTAGAATATATAGAATAAATATTGAGATGATGATTTACCTTTTACCTAGTATATATAAAATCAATATTGACATGATGTGGGAAAATTATGACGAATTATGACATAAATTCGTTTAGAAGTTAGTAGAAAATATTAAAAAATTAGATTTATTTTTTATTTTTTAAATCCTTACAGTAATTCGTACGCTCTTTTTCATACGCTTAATTTATCAAGTTTACACATACAAATCAAAATTAATGCAACTCGAAATATTATATAACAAATAAAATGAGATTTTTTATCTAACATTTAGTATATTGTCGGAAAATCTTTTATAAATCTTATTCTCTTTTTATGCACATAGATATTAAAGAATGAGTAAAAAAATTATCTAAATATGTTTAAAAGTATCTAATATTATATGTGTTAACAATGTTACAACCAAAAGACAATAAGAATACGTAGACTATTATATAACATATGTGAAAGTATTAAAATATTTTATATTATTACCAAAAACAGGGCCGTCTCCAACATTTTTTGGGCCCAGAGCGAAAAATAAAATTAGGCCCCCCTAATTACAATATTGAATAATATATTTTTAATATTTTATTAATAACAACTTCCACTTCTCAAGTAGGAAAGAACCTCCCCCAGATAGACAAAACACAAAAGACTCTTTCTATATATTATTATATTTTTTATTTATATTATTATATATATAATATTTTAATATTTATATATGGGGCCCCAATTAATTGGGGGCTCTGTGCAGTTGCTCACCCTGCTCCCCCTAAAAGCCGGCTCTGACCAAAAAATGTGAAATTACCTCAATTCTGTCTAGACTATTTTATAAGAAAAATATATATACTTAAAGTTAGCATACACACA